GAATTCTGTAGAAAAAGCAAAGCATTAAATTAAGCAATCGAGTAACCTCATGACGACACAGCAGTGGTAGAACAGCATGCTATAATTCTTATTGTACTTTAAAAACTAAATGCTGGCAGCAAAAATCTGTTTGAGTCAGTTTCCTCTAAAACAGATCCCGGAAGTGCACTCTGAAAATAAGTTCATTTTTGGACTTTCATCTTAACTATATAGCTGCAGGCTGGCAGACAGACATCTCTCTGTAGAATGGCACTGCATTTTCTATAGATGGGGCCACATTTTACCAAATTTGTGTGTATTGATTGTTGCTACCTGAAATAAACTTTAGTGAGTAAGAGCAAGAACTGTAAGGATTAGCTTTTTATAAAGAAAGAAAAATTAAATGTGGAATTTAAAATGACTATCAAAAATTTTTATTTTTATTTTTTTAATGTTTTATTTATTTCTGAGAAAGAGAGAGGGACAGTGTGAGCAGGGGAGGGTCAAAGAGAGAGGAAGACACAGAATCTGAAACACGCTCCAGACTCAGAGCTGGCAGTCAACACAGAGCCTGACAAGGGGCTTGAACCCATGAACCATGAAATCATGACCTGAGCCAAAGTCGGACACTTAACTGACTGAGCCACCAGGTGCCCCCCAAAAATTTTATTTGAGGCATATTTTACAGGCAAAACTTCTAGGCACAAAATGAAATTGTACTTTACTTACTGACATAAAGCATCATTGTAAATAAAATAAGGAGACATTCTTTCCTCCCTTGAAAGTCAGAACGTTGACTGAAAACCCAAACAACAAAACTATGAACTAAAGAATAAGCAGGAATCAATGAATAGATCACAGTGTTAGAACAGGATGTATTTATCTTAAACAAGATACTAACATAGACTATATATTCAAAATGAAAAATTAGGAAGTCATTGTTAATTTGTAAAAAGACTTCTTGCATGTCGTATTTGAATAGCTACCTCTCATTTATGGTTTTAAAATAGTATCTATGTTCAAAGATCATTTCTGAGAAACATATCTTTTAAAACCGTGATGCTCATTGCTAAGGGGGTAGAAAATGAAGGAAAAGACAGTTTCCTTTAGAAGCTTATACTTTCACTGAGATGGCAAAACAGATTCCTGAGACTCTAGTGAAGAAAGAGCACACGGCAAGGAGTGTGTCAGTAACCAACCCATGAGCACATTCAAGGTTATTGGTATTTAGAGGTCAGAGTTGATTCATGGTCTAGAAGAAGATAAACACCAGTTAGGTTTGGAGCGATGTCAGACTAGGGTGTGTGGGAGAAAAGGGTGAAGACTTTGCAAGGTAAAGATGGTGGGGGCTGGGAGAATGCACCAGTAAAGAGGAACATCAGTGGATGGTACTGAGATACTTAATGCTAAGGGCCCACAGTAGAGCGAATGTCACATGCAGAAAAGTTGCAAGGAACAGAGAATTGGGGGGTACTGAAAAGGAGAGTGAGAATAATACTGACCATAGATAGGAGTCCCTGTGCTTTCAGAAAAGGCCACGACTACATCTCAACAGCTTAGAAATGGTTCTCTAGGACTCAGGAGAAAAAGAGGGCAGAGTAGTTTCGGGGAAGAGAATTTGATTTTGGAACTAGAGCAGGTGAAAGTGCCCTGGGCATCCTGCCTGTCTCCTGTCTTTCTCAGTGCCAACGTCATCCCTCCCAGCATATCAGTTAAATCATCCTGAAGATGATATTAGCTGGTAACTGGTTAATATCTTTACTCAGGGGAATTGAATCTAAATGAACATACTAGTAAATCTATGGTTTTTATCCTTTTCTCTTGGTTCAATGTATATTCAGTAGGCAGCTATGACATGCCAGTCATTGTGTTAATCATTCCATAGTGGTGGGTTTTTGAAAATGTGAAGAACAGTGAGGGAGATATCCCCCAGAATTCTTAAAACTAAAGGGTATCGGTGTCAGTGGGCTGTTAATGTATAGCTCATTTTAAGGCAAGCCCTCCTGTCCCCCTGTGTTCTTCTAGATCTCTCTCTGTCTCTGTCTCTCTCATACACACACATATATTTTCTTACTATATTCTACAACAATTTTCCCCTTACGCTGACTTTGAAAATGTATTATCTTCAAAACTCTTGTTGTGTGCCTTCTTGTAAACCATTTCCTAAACTTTTTGAGCAAGGCTGAAAATAAACAAATTCAGGGGCGCCTGGGTGGCTTAGTCGGTTAAGCGTCCAACTTTCGCTTAGGTCATGATCTCGCAGTTCGTGGGTTCGAGCCCCGAGTCGGGCTCTGTGCTGACTGCCAGCTCAGAGCCTGGAGCCTATTTCAGAGTCTGTATCTCCCTCTCTCTCTGACCCTCCCCTGCTCATGCTGTCTCTCTCTCTCTCTCCACTAGAAATAAATAAAAATATTAAGAAATAAAAACAAATTCAAAGTCAGAAAATTGCAAATCATGCCAACCTGATGAATCAAGTGTTTTTTCATTTGTGTTTTCTGCCAACATTATCCATATGAATACATAATTTGCACATATTTATGGTCAGAATGTTTGGGTAAAAGAAAAGAAAAATAACATATCCTCTTTCAAGGAAGAGTTGTGCACAAGGGCTGTAGATAGTTCAGTGGGCCCTATACCTAAGATCCCTGGTGGCTGCACTGTCACCTCCATCCTGTTGGCATAGAGCACGAGGGAGGCAGCTTGCCGAGAGTGCCTATGTTTAGCCAAGGTGGGTTGTGTGATAACAGGGAGGAGGCCTGGCCACATGCCGTCTGACTCATCCCATCAAGCATACGTGTCAGTTTCTCCACTGTCGGGACAGCCTCCTTCAGAACACAGAGCCTGACAGTGACATTTCCACAAACTTCATCATCCACAGACCAATTTTCAGAAGCCACTAGGCGCTGGGTACCACCGAGACTTCGATAAATCACATGGCTGATAACATCTTTATTACTTGCTGTTGTCCTTCACATGATTGCCTTTTCTCTGGTTTGCAACTGTGGTTCCTGCTCCTGGACGCTGCCGGTCTCTTCCCCATACCACTCCATGCCAGCAGTCTGCCAGACCGCAGCAGGGATGTAAAAATGAAGCCACTTTGCCTACTACTTCGTTCTCTGGCATATCGTGTTCAAAGCTGGCAAATTTATGTGTGCATACATAAAATCTATGTGTGATATGTAGGATTTCAGATCAGAGCTGGTCCAACATAATTTTTAGGATCTTTTTGTAGGGGGTGGGCGGGGGGGAAATCAGCAAGAGAAGCGATAAAGAGCACAGCATAATTTTGAGAATGGATTTTAATAACTTCTTTACATTTACTGCTCTCTGAACACAGACAAGATAACTTCCCGGGGCCTCATTTTTATCATCTTTAGTTTGGGCCTATGTGTGCTCTCCTCCAGGCCGTGAGCCTCACCAGGGTGAGGGACATGAGGGGCACAGTGCTTAGTCTAAGCAGGCATCGGTGCTCAGCTGAGAGCTACCTGCCAGTGGCTTGCTCAGAGAGCTGATGATGGCTTCCCTTAGCTGCAGAGGCGCCTCTTACTAACATGACAGGCACATCTCCATCTTCCTTCCTCCTAGTAACACTGACTACCTAAATCATAAACAAGAGTTTTCCACAGAGACCAAACAAGGCCACTGTTTACATTCCACTGGAGCTAAGTCTGAATCTTGACATTCCCTAATTCCATTCTAGGCAAACATTGTTTGGCTCAGGAATTGAATAACCAGGCACTCGTGGAACTGTATTATCGATTAATGGATAGGGAACATATACCGTCAAAGCTACCTTCATTTATGAATGGGCCAAAAAGAACCAGGAACCAAAATGCGTTGGAATCAGGTGAGATATTTGTGATTTGATCTGCCTCCAGGTGAAGTAGTTATAAGAATTTAATTCATTGCAGAATTGGGTTGTGAAGCCTGGCTGGGAAGCTTTGGAGCTGTGCTAGCCTGGGAAAAAGAATAATTTCTGAGTGTCCTCCTCTATTCCGCTGAACCCATAACAACTGCTGTCTCCTTTCTAGGTCTCTTATGAAGTTCATGTGATGTGTATGCAGCCTCTTTGTAAATGAAATTCTAAACATATAAGTGGTTATTAATATGCTCTTGTACATCCTGTGGGTGTTGTAAGTTATTGACTGTTTGACTTTTTCTAACATCATTGTTCCTGTACAAATGAACTCCCGAAATATCTATCATCCTACCTACAGAGGATATTAAATTTTAAGGAGTAAAGTCATGTCTTCACTTGCTATTCTGGTGATCATTAGTCACGATTAGGCAAAATTCTGCTGGTTAAGATACAATTCCAGGGATGCCTAGAAAGCACCTTCTCTATGCTCACTTCCCAAATGCATTCCTGACAAACTTGCTAATAATGTAGATGTTCTGCCAATTGGGAATTCACTTCGCTGTCACTATCTTAATGGAATTGCATTTTAAGCTCTATCATTCATATATACCTATTAAGAATTAAGTTCATCTAATAAGTTTAATAGGTTTTCAGTAGCAGGAAGGAATGGAACATGAGCTAATAGAGGTGGGAGCCAAAGTCTCAGAGAAGTTAAGTGTAGAGAGAGAACAAAGTGGGTATGGTATGTCAGAATTATTCTCTATGTAGATGGTAGACTATTTGGATTGTGTCTAATGATTAATGTTGCCTTATTTATTTATTTTTAAAAATTTTGAATGTTTTTATTCATTTTTTTGAGAGACAGAAAGAGACTGTGATTGGGAGAAGGTCAGAGAGAGAGGGAGACACAGAATCTGAAGCAGGCTCCAGGCTCTGAGCTGTCAGCACAGAGCCCGACGCGGGGCTCGAACCCACCAACCATGAAACAATGACCGGAGCCAAAGTCTGCTGCTTAACTGACTGAGCCACCCAGGTGCGCCTGATTGATGTGGCTTTACTCTAAGTGATCTAAGACTCATGCAAAAGTATCTAGAAATACATATTCTCTACATAAGAGCCAAAACACTTTTCGTTGAGGAAAGAGAAGAGAAATGGATCTTACCCAGCGGGTCTTGTGTCTTCAATGGCTCTGTCCACTGGGATCAAATCACTGAGGTAGACATTGAAGTTTCCTTCTTTCCATCTTCTTTCTGCCTCCTTCTCTTTGCCACGGGGGACAACTACAGGACGTCCATATTGGCCTGGAGCTTTGGGGTCCCTTGGAGAAAGTGTCAGGTCAATTCTCAACACATGGTGCATTCCAGGTTCTTCAGGTACTTGTATAGGATTTTGGTTGAGTTCTACAGGTTGGGCCTTGGCAGTCAAGTTGATTCTTGCTGGCTCTAGCCTCTCAGCTAAGGCTCGATGGGTTTGAGATACTTTTGCTCTCCGTAGAGCAAATGGAGAGAAAGATGCCTCACTTCTATTCCTGGAAACGTGTTTCCCTTGGCTTTCACCCAATACAATAGGGAGTGCAGTTTTGTTTTTAAGATTGGGGGCCTCTTTGGAGTTTGTCTTTAGATCCTCCTCTTTGGTTATAATCACAACGTGGCTTTCAGAGAAATTGAATTTCTTCCCACCAGCCACTTTGGCTCCATCATCCTTTGGCAAGCCCCCCAACTGTGTTTCATTAATATATTGCTTCTTTGAGAGATTTGAATTGGCAACCAACTTGGAAAAGGGAAGGTTCTTATTGGCTTTGTGTTTATTTGAGTCTCGTTCTTTGCTCTGAGTTTCAGTTTTATTTAAGGCTATGGCTTCCCTAGGTTTTGGCACCAGTGGGCTGGCAGGGTGTGCCCTCTCATTTGCTACCGCCTGTGATTGCTGCTTTGATCTGTCAGTATTAGGACTGATGGTCACATTTGGGTTTCTCTCGGCTGCTTGTTTTGATGTGTCACTGCTGAGACTATGACCCTTCAGGGCCTCCTGGTGTATATCGACAGGTCTTGCGTGTACAGATATTTCTGCCAACTGAGTTTCTCTTGCTGCTATGAATGGGGTTTTCTGAGCCCCCTGAGCTCGCACTTGCTTTGCCATGTGACGAGAGTAGGCTTCAGGTTCAATGCCCTGCTTCTCTGTCTCCTGCTTGGTAAAAGTCCTTGGAAGGGTCTGGAGATACGCAGGATGCCACAAAGGGGCAACCTTGCCCCTTCCCAGGGCATTCTGCTTTTTTCTTTCCCTCTGGGTTTGGTCCAAGTCTTCCTCAACCTTGAGCATACTCTTCTCAGTTTTTCTAAAGTTCTCTTTGCCCCACACACCCTTCCCATGTCCCCTCAGAGGGGACTTCATTTCTTTTACGCTGCTATAAAGGATCTTCATTTGGTCTGGCTGAACTCTGAATCCTACCTTCTCCCTCCTGACGATGTCTTCCTTGAGGACCCGAGTGTTGATCTCGCTGAATGACAGGCGGAGAGCTGCCATGTCAAAGAGCAGCCAGATGACAGAAGCTACAAATATAAATGCCAGGACTCGCCCACTTCCTCGGAAAAACTTTCGAATCTTGTTCATGGTGCAAAGGCTTCACTTGCAGCCTACCCTCCCTTTGAGCCTGCTTACCTTGAGTGGAGAGAGAGCTCAAGTAGCAGCGGCAACAGCAGCAGAGTGGCCAGAAAGCGCCCCCTCCCCTGAAAACAGCAGGAAACAGCAGTCCACGGGGGGGAAGCTCAGCTCCCAGTGCTTGTCAGTCTCTGCCTGCGTGGCATTTCACAGCGGAGCATCTGTGCCTGCTCGGCTGGCCCCCGGCTACACTGTGCTAAACACTGCCCTCAGGTCACCCTGGGAACAGTTGACTGCATCTACCAGACAATTCAGCATATCACTTGTCTCCTTGAGCCCACGTCCACCTTCCTATAAGCCCGAAAAGAGGTGGGGGCCGGGCTGGGGCTGCCACTCCTCTCCTCCCGGCTGTCTGTCTGCACAGGCTGTAACTCAACACCGCTTCTCATAAGGAAAACATTTCAAGCCATTACCCAGAAAACTTCATTCAGCTCGCACCTTCCGTGTTCTGTGAGAGTGTGTGTGTTTTCAGGGCAATTAAAGGGAAAGAAAACTTGGAGGGCATGTGTTCCTGGTTTGTAACCCCACCTACCCCATGTCTGCTCATTAACCCTGTTATCCCCAAGTCTCTGATTTACCCCAGCAAATAATCAGTGACCTTAGAGGTTCGGCTTTGAGATGTTACCGGCTTAAAGAAGGGGTCTAGCAGGATCTCAGTGCCAGAGGTGGATGTTTAATTATTCAGAAGTTTTTCTTGAGCGGGTCTCAGAATGTTTCTTTATAAGTCAACGGATCTTTAAATGGACTCCATTTATTTTTATTACTAAAGTCACTAGACGTGAACGTAACTTGTCACATTGCTGTACAAGCTTCTAAACATTTACTCAAGGTTTCAGTACTTATCTTGTCACGGATCAGGAACAAGCACTTTGCAGACTTTACCCGCAGTGGGACCGGACTTGGAGCAGCCCTGCTAGACTGGCAGACCGGTCCCCACACGGACTTTGTGTTAGGATCACTCTAAGGATGTCCCCCCAGATTTTGATGGACTGGTGGGGGTGGAGACAATAATGGCAGTTGGTCTGGTATTGTGTTTTTAAGAAACTTCCCAGGTCTTTATAATGTATGGCCAAATCTGAGAGACACTGGTCTAGAATAGAATACCTCTTATTTTTGTGATTCTGAAACACTGCTCACAGTTTTTGTAAAATTCCCTCACAAACAGAGTAAAACTGCATTTTGACATTACCTGTTATAAACATTGTCAGTAGAGTCTGAGAAGCACTTCCCAGGAGTACTGTTCTCCCATGAGCTTTGAGTGATCTGTAGATGGTGATACCACTTAGCACTCTTCCGTTAGGAGGGGTATAGAGTACTTGCCTTGAGATAAATTTAGGCTCCCAAAGGCTTGGAAAGGGAAGAAGGACAAATTATTTTTTTTAAATATTTATTTATTTATTTATTTATGGAGAGAAAGAGAGAGAGAGGCTGGGAGGGAAGGGTAGAGACAGAGGGAGAGAGAATCCTGAGCAGACTCTGTGCTGTCAACACAGAGCCCAACACAGGGCTCAGTCTCACAAACTGTGAGATCATGACCTGAGCAGAAATCAAGTCGGATGCTTAACGGACTGAGTCATCCGGGTGCCCCAAGAAGGACAAAATCTGAATTCTCCACACTTATGCATTACTGTAGCATTTGGTCTTTAAATTAGCACCTTGCTCCAAAGGAGAGAACTAGATAAATGCCGCTTTAGCAACATGTTTCTTGAATCCCTGATTCTCCTTTTTATTCAGGGCCTGCTCACTCAAATTTGGAATGTCCACATGGATAACAGCGTTGGTAGCTCAGCCATTTCCTCCCTGCAGTGATTCATCTACCTTTCCAGTATTTGTTATGTTTTATGACTCAAGGTCTGTGTTGGGTGTTGAGGAATATTGAGTAAAAGGACATAGTTCTTGTCTGGGATCTTATACTCTATTGGTGGACATGGACAGGTAGGCACATCTAGAGTACATAATAAATAATATGAGAGAATAATATACTGGATTCTATGGGGACCTAGCTTAGTTTGAGGGTGCATGAATAATTTTTGAAGAAATTTTCCATAGAGTTGAGGGATGAATGAGAATATAGTTATTTCTTCTTATATTGTGGTCTGAGAAAAGAAATATTAGTTGGATGAAGAAAAGCAGATAAAGCAACAAAATCACAGAAGTGAAGTGATGGCATAACACCTGACAGGAAATAAGTATCTGAGAACAAGCATGATTGGAAACACAGGCTTTGGCATGAGTGTGCATGAGTGCGTGCATGCGTGTGTACCCAGTGTGTTTGAAACACTTTACTAGTCTCTTTCTATTGAGCATCTCACTCAATTTCCAAACAACCCAATAGGGAAGATGCAGTTAGAACTGTCACTTTGTTGGGGCATCTGGGTGGCTCAGTCTGTTAAGCGCTCAATTTTGGCTCAGGTCATGATCTCGTGGTTTGTGGATTCGAGCTCTCCATAGGGTTTTGTGCTGACAGTTCGGAGCCTGGAGCTTGCTTCGGTTTCTGTGTCTCCCTCTCATACTGCTCCTCCCAATTGTGCTCTGTCTCCTGTTCTCTCTCAAAAATGAATAAACATTAAAGACATTAATAACAAAAGAACTATCACTTTGTTATCACAGAAACACCGTTTAGAGAGGTCAAACAGCTTGAAGTGGAAAGGAAAGATTTGGATCCCGAATAAATGACTGTGTGGCATTATAGTCCACGTGCCTGGATGGAACAGACCACTGCCTCTCTAGCTGTATAATCTTGTAAGTTAGTTAATTTTCTGTGTTTACTCTTCCATTAAGAAAAAAGAAAATAAATTTTGCCTTCCAGGTGAATGTAAAGATTAGAGAAAACAGGCTAAAGTTCTTTTTATATTGTCTCTAATCCAGCTTTTGATCTTTCGTGTGATAGTGGTGTGGGGTACATGTGGGAGACAGCATGCCCTCTCTCCATGAAAATCAAATAAGAAGCCTGATGATTAACATGGTTTTGGCAATAAGGCAAGAAGTATAGCTGAGTATTTTATTTTTCCTTGCTATTCCTATTTCCTTTATTTTGGACCCAACGAACCATTCTTCACTGAGAACTCACTACAGACCCAAAACATTGAATTAGGTAACATTGTTTCTGCCCCTGATGACTTTAAAACTTGACTGAATAGAATACCTTCAACGTAAAACATAGCACAACTAATTAGGATCCAAGTTCTAAAATCATGTGAGAAATTATTTCTCATATCATAAATATATGTATTACATTACAATATTGCTTTAAATATGAACACAGAATGCTTTGAAATACTTTTTTATCCAAGGCATAAGTCTTGTCCAACCACATCTCCACCCCAAATGGCAGCTGGGATTAATCAAACTCTTGTTAGAAAAGTCAACACTTATTACATCCTTACTAATCTTGACAGTTTTAAAACACTGCTTGAAAAATATCCCGAGTCTTCTATATTCATTTAGTCAACAATGATTTCTTTCTCCCTCTGTCTCTGGTTTGTCCATACAAATCAAAATATAAAGGACTTGCAACAGGAGAGAAAATTGTTAAGAAAATTCAAAGAGAGTGTTGGCTTATCTACGTTAGGCAAAGTTACTTATTAATTCTGGCTTAGTCTTGAGTTCCAGCTGATATAAAATACAGAATAAGATGTGAAGAGTACATAAGAGAGGAAAGAAGCATTGACCCAGTCCCTTTCAATGGAAGGAGTGAATTGATAGACTGGGTCTGAAGTACTGCCTTGACCATTGATAGACATGATCGTGGATACATCATACATGAAAAAGCTCCTCTACATGCCTCTTTCAGCCTCTTCCCCATTTCGCTCCTTGGTGAGTCTATAAGAATCTGTAAGGATGGCAGAAGTTGATTTTAAACTACATTACAAATGTAGCACTATTGATCTTCAGGAACCTAACAATAATTTCTGTAGACCCCAACAGCTGTACATCTCTCCTCTTTTTCCTCTCTTGTGTGAACACGTTATGGTCATACCAATGATAAAGTGTGAATAAAAAGAAATAGTAAATAAAGAAATTAAGAAATTCAAAATTTAATAGAAGTTAATACACACACTATCCAACATATGGCTTTCCAGATAAGTAAAAGGTGTTGTGTTTTTATTTTAGTTGTATTAATTTCCATATTATCAGCACAAAACCAAATATATAGGTGGGTTGGCTATGTAAAATACTTCTGGCTATTATCTTAAATGGTAGCTTTAGCTGATCAAATTTCTCAAGAATCTGCACATACTTAGTTGGAGTGGATAGCATCTAAAAATCTTGTTATGAAGTAATCCTTGGGAGGCTTTCAGAGCGCTACTCTAATTTTCATTCTGACTCCACCTGTGTAGTAAAAAAATAGTTTTTTGTTTTTTCTTCTGTAAAATGGGTATGTAAGTAGGAAGGGGGCTATTCTTTACTTAGTTGCTGTCAAAATAATCATATTAATAGCAACCAAATTTGAAAATTTACTGAGTTTCTGCCCCTAGGTTCTTCCAGACTAGATCATGGACTGTTCAGCAAGACAGCTCTGTGTATAGTGTGGGATCTGCACCTTTATTCTACTTCCATGGCAAATATCTTTGAATCAACTTCATTGTTAATCTGTAGAGATTAATAAACATGTTTTTGTTTCTGTCCTTAAACTTCTCCAGTGGAAATATAGAATCTTAGATGTACCAGGTCTAGCTCTCTGGCTTTGCAGTAAAGTTACTCTCTCAGGGTATTTGAATATTTCTTGTCTATATAAGTAAATTCCAATTACTTAATATCTATTTTCTTAATTACTTAATATCTGATTTTTACTCAACTATCTACCTCTAATTACAAAGGACATAAAAAGAAAAATATATTTAGACATATATTTTACAGAGAATAATGATAACCTATGGATACATCACTGAATTTGAATTTAGATATAAATTTATGGATTCTACTTAAAGACAGTATGGGATGAAGTTATTATTCATTTAGGAAATTCAAATAAGAAAGCAAAGTAAATGATACATATCATTTTGCTTTCTTATTTTATTTTACTTTATTTAATTTTTTTTTAGTGTTGATTTATTTTTGAGACAGAGCATGAGTGGTGGAGGGGCAGAGAGAAAGGGAGACATAGAATCTGAAGCAGGGTCCGGGTTCTGAGCTGTCAGCACAGAACCTGACGTGGGGCTCAAACCCACAAATCGTGAGATCATGACTTGAGCTGAAGTCGGAAGCTTAAC